ACTATTTAAGACGGATTGTTATTGCCACAAAATTTTTTTCGAACTCCCTTTATTACGGCCAGGTATTGTAACGACATACCTTGTATCATTCATACAAAGAAACACTTCTTTGTGCTTCAACACATTTTCGCTTTTCAGAGAGTAGGCCACCATGCCTTCCTTCTTTCCTAAACAAAGGCTTTTGCCTTTTGGAATTTTGCATGATTCATACAAAGAATTTACGAAAAACATTAGGCAACCCTTTCTTTAAGATAATTTTTTAGTCAAAAAATTATTATCTAATAAAAGCGATCTATATAAATCTTAGTAACACACTTGTATATATCTATAATATAAAATAGGACAAACTTTAATAAATCTATCTGATAGTCTCAAATAAACTCGTGCAATGATTATTAATATCTATCTCAAAATCATTCACATTAAATTTCTCCCCTCTCCCTTCCACTCATGATGCACCGTGACTCATGCAATGATTACTATATACATAGCATTGTCTATGATATTAAGCTTGGAATATAGGAGTAAGTCTAAATAAAGAAAAAAACAAAAAAGTAAATATAAAAAAAAACACAAGTAACTTACTAAAAGTACTTAAAAAAGTAAAAAAATAATAAAGTACTTAAAAAAAAAAAAAGAGTTACTAAAGGTTGTCTTACACTATAGTATGAAAACTGAAAAGGATGAAGGGCAAATGATTGTCCCTGTTTCAACATTTCCTCATGAGACTCTATGCACCATAAGTGGGCACAGCATGATTGGTTTGACCACTTTATTTGATCTGAGGTAGATCTCACATTTGACTCTGATTTCTCTCTCTTTTATCAGTTGGCATGAATTCAACAGAGCACAGCTTTTTACCATCTGTGGTTTTCATGAGCTTAATTTGTACAACGTTTCAGTGCAAGTTGCCCTACTACTGTTTCATGACCACACACAAATAGTGGTGATACCATGTCAGGTTCATTTCATGTTTAAATAGTATTATGTTAAATCCTAGTCAACTCCCTTGCGACCCATTGTTAATTGTGTATAATTGATTTCGTCTTGTTTCAAGTCCGTGTCATGTATAAGTTGTATTTAGCATATTCGTGTAATTTTTAGTCAAATTCACGCCGACCTATTTATTTGACGGGTCTAATAAGTCCACTCATTTATCATTAAACCCGCTCATGCTAAAACTAAGCCTACTAATTTTTGGGTCGATTTTGTGTTGAATTTGATGATTAACAGGCAGTGCAATTAAGTTTGGGAGAACATGCTCCTGCAACAGTCTGGTATTACTTTGGCTATAGCAACATTAACTACTTGCATAATTAAAAATTTATAATGATTTCAGGGAAAATCTGGTGGATAAGAGTTTTATCGAGGTATCGCTTTATGAAATGTTGAGCCTCTTGCCCTTAGTTTATTGTAACTTTGGTATAATACCAAAAAAATAACTTCTCGATATCCATGCCTATACCACTTGCTCACTTTGAGAATAGAAATGAAGGAGAAAATAGAGTCATAAGGTGACAAAAATCAGAAAATTTATTCTATTTTCATGATCATGACTTCATTTTAAAAAAAATAATTGTAAAATCCATCACTTTTAGCTGTAAAATCCACAATTTTAAAGTTATTGAAATACTTGAAAAATCGAATATGGAGGGAGGGCGAAGAAAAGGAGAAAAGAAAACAGATTAATTGTAATTGTTAATTGAATGAAGAGAATGTAAGAATTTTGTTTGGTCGAGGTTGTTTAGAATATGTTTAGACTTCTTAATACATACCTCTCTAAGATCGCACAATAAATAGGAGTTTTGTGCACTAGGTATGATTATGTTTGATATTATGGCAAATACTCAACGTGATTTGATATAAGATCAAGTGACCAGTTGATCAGTGGGTAAAGTTATTTTAAGTTCACCCAATATATAGGAGTTTTGTGCACTAGGTATGATAATGTTTGATATTATGACAAATACTCAACGTGATTTGATATGATATCTTATCCAGTGACTAGTTGATCAGTGGGTAAAGTTGTTTTAAGTAATTAAGTGACATTTTTGCGCTCTCTTTCCCTCCATGTCCCAGTTGTTGACCACTATTTTGATTACAACTGTGATTAGTAATCCTATAATTTTTTTTTTGGGGGGGAGATATTATGGAAGTTGGTTGGTCATGAGAAACTTGAGGTCCCTCCAAGGTCACAAAATTCAAAATAATAATGATGGTAAACTCACTAGCATGCTATGATTTGTTCACCTTTGCTGAAAGAAAAGTAAAACAAAATAATGAGACTAAACAACTTTTGTTTTTGATGGTTGTGGGAAACAAAATCAATTTCCAAACAGGCCAACAATCATGAAGTTTCAGTGAAGTTTCATGTGAACAAACTCTTCTCTCAAAAGATTTCATCTTCCATCAAAGAAAGGGAAAAAGATGGCACCATGTCATATTTGAATAGTATCTAAGTCAGGTCGTGTCAAATGTATAAATCATTGATTGTTAGATTCATATCGACTTATTTATTAAACTTTGTGCATGTTATGTATCGTGTTGAGGGTCATTCGAGGAATTGTCAACTCTACATCTAAACCATTGCCCGTGACATCTTTGCCTAATTATTATGTTTGCACACATTCAAAATTCCAAACATCAAAATGAAAATGATGTGCATTCAGGCAGAGATCTCAATCTCCCGCTCTTAAAAAGTAATACCATAACAGGTAAAATGAAATTGACCAAACATACATGAAACTGAAAAAGTAGTAAAAGAGGTAAAATAAAAAGTGTCATTTCTGATCACTGCCTAATCAAGACATAATGGGGAGAAAGTGATATTTTTGCTTTGAATTTCACACTGCACTGGTGGTTAGATAAAACTTTATGGATGAGGCAAAGAAAGTATAAATCAAAATTGAGATACGTATCTATAATCTTTCGAAGCCTGATTATGTTAAAATATTAAAAAATAAAACTAACTGATAATGAGTCAATTGGCCTCAAGAATCGTATCTTAATTCGGAAAGTCTTATTGAATAACTCATACTGGTAAACCAAATTATTATATGTCAATAAATAGTGTATAGTCGGAATGACTTTATTTGATGAGTTAAATCATATGATATAACACTTGTTGTCTTTGTTTTTAGCTATCAGTTAAAATTTCATGTCAAGTAAGTGAGGTTGATTTCTAAACTTGAACCAGCGGCGTGGATGGACAAATGGGTACTTATCATCGTTCTTGGAACAAAAAAAGATGATTAAATTCTGCATAACTACAGAGACAAATAAACATCTTTATCAAGTCGATTTTCTTTTGTGAGACAGCATGTGGCATTAAATACAAGATGACTATATATTCCTCCGCATAACAAAAAACATGAGAGAGAGAGAGAGAGAGAGAGATGGGCCAATAAAATCATTATAACAACTCTCACTCAATCACATTCAGTGTCCCTTTTCTTTAACAGCAGCAATCCCAGAGCAAAAGATTTCATTTGCTAAAATGAATCCAAAGGCATTTTCAAACACAACAATTCAAAAAGGTTTTCTCTTACCAAAAATCCCCACCCAACCCAAGGAAAATTAAACACTTTTTCCCTTGTCATTTCATGAGGAAGTTATGCTTACAGTATGTTACGAATCATATACAAATTAATTTCCTCCTTATTGACTATGAACAGTGTTGTAGGGTGCTCATTTTCATTGGTGTTTTGAAAATTTAGGAAAATGATGCATTTAATCTACATGTGCAGTGTTAGGTTTATTATATTTCAGTAATCAGCTCAAAGCTGTAACAAAATATAAATTTGCGTTAGATATTTGACAATAATTGCAAAATTTTTATTTATGCACGTGCAGTTGCAATTCTATGATTTAATTTTCACCCAACATTTTATGTATCACATGCATTTTATTGTTATTAACATTATGATTGAACGAACGTGATGTAATTTGAACCTTAACACCCCTCAGAGACCAATTCGTCTCGGGTCCCTTTTTCTTTTCAGCAATTTCTTTCTCAAAAGAAACTCTTCCAACTTAGAATAATGTTCCACCCTTGTGCAGTTTGTCATTGGCACCTTAGTAGCAGTTGATTGAGGAAAATACAAGACAGGATATTATAGTGCTTCACTTGGTCTTACTTTTAAAAACAACATTACAAAATGTTGGTTGTTACTCTGCCAATTCATCTCAACATTGTTGATATTTTTATTTATTATTTTCAGCAAGACATTGTTAATTAGTTCAGTGCAACTGTGTTACCAAACTGCATGTTATTTTAATTGTTATGTTGCCAACATTTAGTAGCAGGGATGCCCTAAACACAAAGTATGATGACAAATCAGACCGTTTGGATCTGATCAATTATTTTATGATTTATATTTTAACTTTCTAATCACAGTAAATTTATCTATTTATAATTTTAACCTCGGTAAATCTACCTACTTACATTTTAACCACCCACCTATATTTTTATCACAAGTAACGACCGTAAATCTACTTATTTAGTTGTTAACCTTTTTAACTACAGTAAATTTACTTAATTGCCTTTTAACGACCAACTCATATTTTATTCACATTAAAAAACACGCATGTCGTGTATTGCACGGGTAAACCTAGTATATTAATAGTATATAAAAATTCATTAATCAGAGAAGAAATGAACAACAAATCATTGATTGCAGTTTATTTCTTTAGGGAAAAACAGATCAATGACCTCTTTTCCTCAGCCACTTCATTGAACAAGAGAGAAATTTCCAGCTTGCAAGAGTGCACTATTGGGAGAATTCAGCCTTGATTAGCAGCACAGGACCATGAGCTTAATGATCCGACAATTATCATATATCATAGCATAGTACACTGTACATGGTGCACCCTTAATGGGAACACTAAGAGAATTCTGGGTACTACAGGGGACCTAATACACTTGAAGAGGTTCTAGGAGGTTGTGAAAAATGGGTTAAATTAGCAAATGAGTGGCATTAGCATGTGGGGAGAGAGAGAGAGAGAGAGAGAGAGAGAGAGAGAGAGAGAGAGAGAGGATTTTCTGGACTAGTTCACATTGCCTGGGAAGGCACAACAGAGCAGAGTTCAATAGACCCATAATGGACCAATTCCTCAATCATTTGCTCTATGTGATCATCTTCCAGTGGCTTGAATTGTTGGGTGGTCTGCACTTCAACTTTCCTGGCAACCCAATTGTCCTCTTGTTGAGGCACCACCATTGATCTCTTCTCAGGCGACAAGGTACTCGTCTCATTGACATTTCCCACAATGCCATTGGCAGCAACATGATGCAAAGAAGGAACTCTTTGAGGCTCTTGCATTGATGCTTTGGTCATTTGAAGTGAAGCCATATAGCACCTATGCAATTTGGCTGTCAAAGTAGCTGAGAGAAGTTTCGACGACGATGACTGTGGTGCATTCGGGTTGTAAGGGAAGTTGGTTCTAGCCCTTGGACCACACATTAGCCTGGCAGCTTCATCGTAGGCTCGGGCAGCGTCCTCTGCCGTTTCAAATGTCCCTAACCAAATTCTTGTCTTACTGCACAAACGAAACGTTTCTTTTAGTTAACAACACTGAATGTCACGGAAAAATGGGTGCATTGTTTAAAACTGAGACCAACTTACAGCAAAGGATGGCGAATTTCAGAGACCCAAGAGCCCCAGTGCCTTTGTCGAACACCTCGGTATCGCTGTTGTGGCCTAGCCATTTGTTGAAACGTTTCCTGTGTCTAAGTGTTTGTGAAATGCCTGAATGAGCGAATAGAGGTGTTTGTGAAAATGTCTGAATGAGAATGATGCAGGAGGGCTAGTGGTGCCGAGGAAGGGAAAGGGGATTAGGGGGTTTTTGTAGTTGCGTTTGTTAAGGGATATGGAGGACAGAGAAGGGCTTTTTTTCCTTGGCCTTCTGGCACCAATTTGTGAAAATGGGTCCCATGGGGTGTGGGGTTCTTGGCCTTCTTATCTTTTTCTACTAGTTTCCAGTTGGCTAATTGAAAATGGGGAAACTGTACAGTACCCCAGAAAAAAAATGGTACTGGTATCGTAAATTATTATTTTGTATAATCAAATTATAACTTTAAAAAGAGAAGTTACAATTCACAGACACCTATGATCAATTATGAAAAATATAGTATTGATGACAACATTCTATGATCGATCATGTCTTTTAAAATTATAACTTACACATTAAAATAATTATAACTTAACGTTAAATAATTGTAATTTTTTGTCCCAGTACCTTTGACAGTATCATAGAACTTCCATTGAAAATGACATGATAATTGAAAAATATGTAAAACAAAATAAAAGAGGCCAAATTCAATAGACATGACTATTATAATACCTTTTGTTGCAGAAAAATCTCAAACTCGTGCTTTTATATTATTGCCCTTGTTCAACAAAATCTAGGGTCATAGTCTCCTAGACCCTTCATGTGAGTATGGAATAGATCATGATTCAATCAAAGTTCTGAACACGAATTTACATAGTTAACACAAAAGATCAATCTAGTGCATTAGACTTTCACTGTTTCTGTCTCATGTGAGCTACATGTGCTCTACGTATTGTGTGTTCGAGATGGCCAATTTTATGATTCGACTATTGACAAAATATGTGAGAGAGTTATACGAGAGATACATATTTAATTTATTTCACTTTTCCTCCCTCTAATAACCAAGATGATGTTTAGATTGGCCAAGGAAAAAAGTTGAACAATGCAATTACCAAGTTGATGTCCTATGTTATGTTCGAGTTTAACTATTATATTGTTTTGAAACGTCCAAAACTATGATGTACAATATATAGCAAATCATATAAAAAAATCACAAGGGTAAGAAAACAAATGAATAGTCTTAACATCGGAGGGTACAACTATAATTGAGTCAATCCTAGGTTGGGACACAAGAGAATAAAGATCTTAGACCATAATAATAAGGGTAACGAACCCAATCATTTAGTCCAATACCTTTCACTATTACTGGCTTGATTGCACATTGGCGAGCTAATTAGATTGATGTTGATTATCGATGAAATTAATACGACAAATTATGAAATATGGTGAAATTTTGTATTTTTTATAAATAGAAATAAAAGATGTAGTGTTCTACTCAATACATAAAACTCAAGTCTCTAATGGAACCTAATAGAAATAATTGGTAAACAATCTTAACCTCATCATTCTGGAAGCTAGTGTGTATGGTAAGAGGAATTAATACAACAACAATAGGAAGTATGGGATTGTGGATGATGTAATATGTCTGAATGGACCTGTCTAGAGAATAAGGTGGGCTGCTTTTACCAGTGGTATTCTATATTGCTTTCATTTTCATGCAACTAAACAAGGTGGTAATCCTCATGTCATGTAGTGAAGGTGTTCTCTAGGTATTGTTGATTTTTGAATGCACATGTACATGGCTCTTGTCATGGTTGCTGAAAAAAGAAAACATACCCATATGCCAGATAATAGAGAAGACACAAAATAGTCTCTTGTTTTGGAAGATCATGCCCTTAATCTAATGTGCACCCACGTGCAGAGAGTGCATCCCCCATGTTATGTTAGAGAGAGAGAGAGAGAGAGAGAGAGAGGTTAATAGTCATATATATTTATGCTTCACAAGACCCTCCGCCTAATTTGATTCTTTAATATATATATATGTGTGATACAAATGTAAATTTCAATCACCAGTAGAAGACATTTGCACATGTGAATGGTTTCGTCTGCACTAACATGGATATTCTCATTGCTATGTGAAGTTATGGAGCTTCCAGAAAGACATAACTTATGTTGTGGCTTTGGCAGCAACCCACTTTAAATTACTAAAATTTGTGTGTACTCCCCCTGGCACATGATAAAACTTCTAACTCCTTCCATGTAATTGCCTATTGCCTATCATATGGTATTCCAAAAGACGACCCATATTATTGAATGATATCGTCTACAAAAATTATGTACTAGTTTGGGAGCTATTATTATTATTATATAGACATGTATGTATTTATCCCCGTTATAGAGGTGCACAAACAGACAAACGAAAAGAATACGACAACTAATAAGTTGTGAGATCATGGCACATGCCTAAGACAAACACATTACCAAATCAACAAAAAATTTGAAATGAGAATCTTGTAAAACCTAACAAAGTCCAACTAATATATTGTTAAAGAATCAAACTCTAAATAAATTTAAAATGTTTATCGAAATAAATGAATTGAAAGTAAGTGATGAGTTGGAGAACGCTCACACACTAGTTTAGGAGATATTATTGTATGAGCTCAAGTAAGGTGAGAAAAAAGAGATGTAACTAAGCCTTTATAAAACGCGATTCGACCCTAAAAATAGGTTGACCTGATCAAGGCCAACCAAGGCAACTTGTTAGGTAGACCCACAGCCCGGCCCACATACAGGCTGAAAGAAGGTGCAAGGATCCTATCAACCCACTACAAAACTTGAAAAAGTAGGCCCATTAGAATCGGCTCGATGTGTAACCCGCTAAATATCCGTTAGACCAATCCAATCTAAAACATTGACCAATTAAACCAAGTCTTTCTTTTGGAAATTGAAGTAAGGATATCGAGAGATGAATACGAGAAATCTTTTCATCCAAAATACACTGACGAATTCATGATTTTAATTGTTATCATGCTCCACTAATTAATTGTACCCCTAAGGTTAGAGTCAAAGTCCCTTTATGATGTTAAGAGTGTCTAACCTATGGAGGATGTATAGTTCCATTTAAATGATTGTGAAACTGTAACAAATGGTCATAGTTTTAACAGCAGAAGAGGACAAGAGAAGAAATATGTATGTTCATGGATTGGAAAATTTAGAAAAATAGTCTCCTTTTGCTGTTTTGGTTTACAGCTAATATTTTGAGAGAGAGACGCGTGAAGTGGGACCCAAAATCTAACATGGGTGGGGGTTGGGTAATGAAGGGCTGCGTCAAGTCTAAAGAGGCTCCCACGGATTGATGTTGTGTTGTGACGCGGTTCAGTCTATATCACGGCGCTCCTTACGCTTCGCTAAGTCACAAACAAAGCATAATCTATGCATATGTCTCTCTCTACAAAATCCAGGGAATGCATTGAACAAAGAAGAAAAGTATAGAAATTATGTTGGAATAAGAACATGCGGTATCTCCATCAATCACATTACATGCCATACTGTCACCCACCTATTCCAATGCCTCGTGCAGTCATCTATCTTATATCTACTATCGACTGTTTGATGCGATGCACAAAATTTATAATATCTCCTCTTCGTTATTGTTATCGTCACTCCTACTCTCACCCAGTGGTGGATCTACACTTAGGGCTATTATCTCCACTGAAATTTTAAAAATTTTAAGAAAGTATAATTTCAAAAAAAAAATTAAAATTTATTTGAAATTTGCCCCCCACTTAATTTTTGTTAAAAGANCATGCAGTCATCTTTCTTATATCTACTATCGACTGTTTGGTGCGATGCACAAAATTTATAATATCTCCTCTTCGTTACTGTTATCGTCACTCCTACTCTCACCCAGTGGTGGATCTACACTTAGGGCTATTATCCCTATTGAAATTTTAAAAATTTTAAGAAAGTATAATTTCAAAAAAAAATTAAAATTTATTTGAAATTTGCCCCCCACTTAATTTTTGTTAAAAGATTTATAGGTAGTTACGATATTTTGACAAATATATGGGTCTCACTTATAAATGTCAAAAAAAATTCATTAAAAGGTTAAATGTCTCCATTAGATTAAATTATTTTGATTAGGTGGCTTGAATAGTTTTATTGTGATTGATCAAGTAACTTCTATACTCAAAGTTTTGTTTGTTAAAATTCAACTATGTATGATTGAACCCAATTTTTTAGTTCAATTTGTTAGATCATAATTAGNTCCATTAAAAGGTTAAATGTCTCCATTATGTATTAGATTAAATTATTTTGATTAGGTGGCTTGAATAGTTTTATTGTGATTGATCAAGTAACTTCTATACTCAAAGTTTTGTTTGTTAAAATTCAACTATGTATGATTGAGCCCAATTTTTTAGTTCAATTTGTTAGATCATAATTAGGTCTTATAGATAAATTTATTGAGCTTTTTTCGTTGGCTCTTTATGTATAGTGCTCATGTATATGAATTACGACTTTAATCGACATTTTATTAATCAAACTATACTTTTGTGAACATTAGTAATTTTAATATTCATATGATTTAGGTTGTCTCGACTGAAAAAAATGTTTGGCTACACCCTTGCTCTCACCCGACTGCCAACTATACTCTCTTTCCTCCTAACATTATTATAAAAATATTTATTAATGTGTTAAATTGATAATTTATAAAAAAATTAGTGTAAAGTAATTAATAAAAGATGATAAAATTTTCAAATGTGAAGTAATTATCAAAAAAGTTGAAAGTGGTTACATAGATCGAACTCAATTGGAGAAGACTAATTAAATAATTCAAAATTACTATTTTGAAGCACTCTCTCTCCTAAATTAATTCTTTTAGTATATAATATATATATATATATATATATTGCACCAAGGTTCGATGTCGGGATATCCAGCATGTTGGACCTAATTAATCAACCTATTTTTCCCCTTTTTTTTCAAAAAAATTATCAATGAGTAATAAAATGTGAAATACTGTTTTATAACATTTTCATTCATTGAAGATGGGATGATAACAACAGAAGAAAAAGTTTTTATTTCAGTTTCTATGACTGTAAAATCAAGAAGATATTACATGAGATTTTGCATTCCTACGTCAATCAAGTTTATATTGGAAAATATTCATATTTGCTTAAAAAGTATATAGGACATGGT